GAGTAGTGAAGGCTTGTCTTGCTTTTCCGATTCTTGCTTTGATATCCTCGTCAGTTAAAACCTGTAGTTGAAACGATGCTTCCCAGGTAGGTAAAAGAGGTACTTTCTTTCAGGTTCCTCCCATTTATGCTGATTGTTGTCTGATGTTGTTGCTGTTGATGGTGTTGCCCAGATTAATATGCTGCTAACTTGTTAATGACTTGCTCGGATGAAATTGCCTAGTGAGAGGTCATCAGCTATAGGATCCATCAAGCGGGGTGTGAGGACGAATACTCGCCGCTAATGACAATAGCTAGTGATACTGCCATATGCCTAAATTTTTCCGCCTACATCTATCCATAATAGAAGCTCTTGGTATACATAAGGAGGCAAAACCTAAACTGTGTACACAACAGTTATTTGTCCGATTGCCTTTACTGTTGTAGCTTTAAGCTCCTTTTGTTCTTTACTTCTACAAGAAACTGGTAGATAATCTGCATCCATTCAGTTTCTCTATTCTTCTTCTCACACAAACCTCTGAATTATTATTATTCCCTTGGGTTTCAAGTGGAACATAGGGCTTCAGCAACACATTTCCACTTTCTTCTATTCTCTGCTGTCCTCTTCAGGTAGCTCCACGACTGACCATAATCTCTTCTCTCCTCCTCCCTGAACGATCTCCCACATGTCACCCTTGCAACGACGACTCACTCGTCGCTTTCCAGTGGGATTCCAAATGAGCACTGGCCCGCATTGCACAGGGTGTCAATCGACGGCCTCCTCAACGTATGGTCGATCAGTCCATATTCATTTTCTTCTACATATCCACTTGTTGGTCAACCGGCCGTTGGCTAGTTTGTTCATCGTCAGAGTTTCTTGTTGCTATTCATTTCTGAGCGATATTCACTAATTAGTGCTTTCAGAATACAAAGGAGTTTATTTATGTACACTTTTCGGGTACAAGAACTAATTTGCTTTATCAAATCAAATTCCATAATTTTTGAAATATTAAATTACTGAAATGTACAGCCAATATCCCTGCATATTCATCATAAAACTGGAGGTTACCTCTCTTCCTACTCATTAGCCTTAATGATCAGTGAGATTTACTTCTGTGCAAATGGTAGTCTGTCATAAACATACTGTGACTAACATCTAAATTGCTTTATTCCCCACATCTTTTATTTTATTTTTTTTTATAATTTTATTATAGCTTGATTCCACACCGTATTTTTGGTACAAGTATGGAATTTTCAGCATGTGATATCGGTAGCCCAATTTTGCAGGCCAACCATAGATATCGGCTGTGCGCCGGCAGGGGATCGAACCCCGGATCATGTGCATGGTCGGCGAGAGTCCTAACCATTGTGCCACCGACGCACAGTCGATATTTCTTTTTTCTCAGCTTTCAGTTTTGACGTTTCCATATAGATGTGCCATAAATGACCGGTTGAGTTTTAAAGTTCATGATTACCAGAAAGAGAAGACATATGCAGCTGAAAAACGCATCACAAATGCACTAAGAGATCTTCTAAAAAGAAATTGATTGACAACATTAATTACAATGATTTAAAACCCTAGGGGTCTCGTTTGCCGCACATTTACAGCCTTCCAAAGACGCACAAAAAGCAAGCCCACCCCCTGAGATCTATACTTTCGATGATCAACTCGCCTCGGTATAAAGTCGCTCGCTGGCTTGCAGAGAAGTTGAAACCCATTCGTTAACGGCTAGCCACGTACACCATGAAAGACTGATTTCATTTTGCCGAAAGTACGAAACACGTGAACGCTTCATATAGATTCATGGTTACGAATGATGCAACTCACTTGTTGACAAGGATGCCAATCAAGGTTTCTATACGACAGATGTAAGGGAATATGCTCAACAGAGAAATTAAGAGAAGAATTGATGTCTCTTGAAAAGATGTTGAGAAATAACGCTTACCCTCAGAGAATCATTACCAAATATGGGAAATAAGAAGGCTCAAACATCAAATAAATCACAGTGGGAAAAAAGCCTGTCTTCGGTCAACTCGATTTTAAAGGTGAAAATATTGCAGCAATTGTCAACAGAAGCCTATCATGCAGCTAAACTGGTTCCCCTTTATTGGAAAACATACTGTTCTTTGGTGTAATCAAAAGTCGACAGATACCTTTCTTATGTTAACTCCAACTATGAATACAAATTTACATGTATCTGTGGGAGCAGTTACATTAGGAGAACAGAAAAAATGACACAAACACCTCCGATTTTCTAAATATGTACCGAAAAGCCTACGTCATAAGGGAACAAACGCCTACAGCAGTGCTATTACCAGACATCTCCTTCATACAGGTTATGAGTTGAAAATCCCAAAATCCTTTAATATTGTCAGTAGATAAAAAAGCTAAATCCTCCTCAAGTTTGCCAAAACAGTCTCTATATCAAACGCCTGGAACCTGATTTGTATGTTCAGAAAGAAGCCCTGGTTGTCTTTATTCTCTCTTTCATTTGATTATGTAATCTTTGACTTTAACTTCACACACCCGTTTGACATAGCGTAATTTTGCCTGCCTCTTGTTTCTATGATTTGAGTTGAACTCAGTACACTGTTACCTTATTTATTAGTCACCCATAATCTTAAGCACATCTCGTCTTTATCACTTAACTCCCTTACCACTGTGTGCATACATTTACATTATTTAAACCTGAACTGCCTGTGTAAAAACTATATAGGCGTAACTTTCTGAGTACTGCCCACCAAGTCCAGAATCTTCTGTCAACTAACATCATGTAAAATTTGCAAGTATGTTAAAACTTTTCTGTACATGAACTTAATAATAATTTATTTAGGCTGTAAGCAGCTGAGGTGATGTGAAGCCAACTAAATAAGCAATGGTGGTACCACCATCATCTCCTTGTTGCACAAACCACACTGTTGTTCTTGCTGTCATTCCAGTGCATAAAGGGGAATAAATGTATGAAGTTTCATAGTGCTGTTTTTATGCAGTTAGCTTGCTAGCCTTACATCCAGCCTTCAGTCCAGACTGATAAAACTGTTGAAGTTTCAGATCGGGTTGGCCAGAAATCAAACTCGAACTTCACCTTTGGTTGGAGAAAATTCTTTATCGTGGGACCACCTACACAGTCGATATCAAAGTGCTCTAATAAATCAGTTGGTTATATTACATAAATAAGACAACGAGAGTTATATAAGTGTGAATCTTGGGCACTGTGGTAGAGCATAACTCCATTATAGATAAGATTTTGTTTTGATAAGTCGCACAGTGTTATACAGTAATATTAACTGATGACCACTTTTCGAGCATAAACTATGGCCACTCATAATCATATGAAGTCACTCACACAACTTTTTCCCTTCATTTGTTTACATGAGTGGAATTGGTGATTACATATTTGAATAAAAATCAATATGGGATAATGTACATTCAGAAATAATAATATGAGTGTTATTGATCAATTACAATCAGATGGGAAATAAGACGAATGTTTTTACAGTCATAATAAGTAACTTGTTAGAATGTTATGATGTACGTGAATTGAAATAGAATTTTAAGATTATTTATTATCCTTCTCTGATTTGATCTTCCATATCTCTGGTATTTGCATTGAGTCACTTTTGTTGCGTATGTGTTGGGTGTAGACTCAATGAACTAAGCAGGATTCAGTAATCAGTAGGTGGAGAGAGAGATTGATTACTGAATCCTGTCTGGTTCAGCGAGTCTACACCCAATGCATGTGCAATAGAACTGACTCAAGGCAAATACCAGAGATATGTATGGAAGATATTATTACTACCAGTCATATTAGAGGAGGATAATATTATTATTGTTCCCTTGGGTTCCTAGTGGAACATAGGGCTTCAACTGCACGTCTCCACTTGCTTCTGTCTTCTGCTGTACTTTTCACTTGCATCCAAGTTAGTCCATACTGTTTCAACTCCTCTTCACACGATCTCCTCCATGTCACCCTTGCACCGACGTCCCACTCGCCGCTTCCCTTTCGGGTTCCACTCGAGCAATGGCCTGACGCGCGATGTCACCCAGTGGCCTCCTCAGCGATTGTCCAATCCATCTCCACTTTCTCCTGCATATTTGTTGGGCGATTGGTTCTCGTTTTGTTTGTTCCCATAGTTTCTTGTTGGTGATTCTTTCCCGCCATCTGATCTTCAGTATATAGAGCGAAGAGAGTTGTTGATAAAGGTCTGCAACAGGCTGTTGGAAATATTCTTTGTGACCCACAAAGTTTCTGATCCGAACGTATAGAAGAACTGACTGACTTGACGTTTGCATTGAAAATCCTAATTTCAGGTTGATGAATGTGTTTCTCGCCTTCGCGATTCTCGATTTAGCATCCTCGTCCATTCCTCCTGTAGTTGAGACAATGCTCCCTAGATAAGTGAATGAATGAACATTCTAACAAGCTGTTTATTTATTTTACTATAAAAACATCTTATTTCCCATCTCATTGTAATTGATCAATAACACTCATATTATTATTTCTGAATGTACATCATCCTATACTGATTTTTATTCAAATGTCTAATCATCAGTTCCACTCATGTATATAAATGAAGGAAAAAAGTTGTGTGAGTGACTTGATATGATTATGAGCAGGAATAATTTGTGCTTGAAACGTGGTCATCAGTAAATATTACTGTATAACAACACTGTGTAATTTTATCAAAATAAAATCTCATCTATAATGGAGTTAAGACAACAACATATTCAGACCGCATGGATAGTACACAGTACACAAATAAATTTATATTTATTAATGCGTATTAATTACCCTAAACGATTCTCCATCATAAATAATACCAACCAATAAGCACTTTCATTTAAATTCAGCTATCAGTAAGTAACTCTTTACGATAGGAGTAAGGATGACAAACAAATCAAAAAGAAGGCATACGACTGTTTCTTAAAGTATCGTTTTCAACTGAATTACTTTCTCACTCCTCATTGTTATTATTATTACTGTTGTTAATCAAGTTATTATTATCCTTATTAATTATCAATCAACAACATTTTTGTGCATATTCACGATCCACCTTCTCTTGTATCACTTTTTTACGCAGTGTGTATAGTGCATCTTTAAATGATTGCAGAGTGACTTGATGATCTCCAGCAGTTGATGGAGATGCTTTACTACCCAACAGCTCTTTGTCCAGGGTAACTGCCATTTCCCAGACTTTATCAAAACTCAATGGAGCATCGAATAATGAGCAGAGATTAGCTCTACTGAATAGATTCATTATCTATAAGGTGAGAGAAGAGAAAATAAAAAAGGAAACGTTGAAAGATGAGTATTAGTTAACATTCTAATGAAGGCAAGGTTAATTAATTATGCAATCATTTTGAAAGAAATTTATTGTGAAGTGAAAATGTTTGGGAGACTCAGCAAATTATTTAGTTTGTCGTGGTCATTTGCTATTTTTGGAAACTGTATTGATGTGAGAATTATACGATCTCGATGCAACACATAGCTATTACCATCAAACACCTTGATAGAATCCAGCATAAAATAGTATAATATCGTCGTATCTTACAGCCACAGGCCAGCCTATGTCTTTTGAAATTTGCTTGGCTTAGTGAATCGGGAGATACAGCGGACAAATAGACGTATTAGCGTACCAGTCGAGTTCTTTACCGTTAAAGTAATTAACAGGCGCAGACATAAAAAAGGGTGACGGACTTATTCAGTTTAGTTCAGTTGTAACACACCTGGAACCCGATTCACGCGTATACAATTTTTGCATGTACCTATGGAAGCAGTTACACATTTCGAGAACATCTTCAATTTTTTGTGCACACACCAAAATGCCTATGTGTCAAGGGAACAAACATTTTCAGAAGTGCTACTGTGGTGAGAGCTGTCTACTAGCCAAATTGGTAGACAGTAATTTACATCAATGTTTACGTTCTCAAGATTTGTCATGAGAAAATATGAACAAAGACTGACTCAACAACCAATCACAGCAGACTTTGCGTAGGCGGATGCAGTGAACATATAGATGATCTGACATTCAAGAAACAGTCACAAATAGATGAAAGATTAACTTTACGTGAGAAACAACCAATCGGAAGACTGTGTTTGTTTGCTTAAATAATCTATAATAATGTACATGAAAATATATAAATATGCTTTGATTTCCTTAATAAATGATCTGTTGCCTGACCCTTGCCTTCTGTTGTTACACTACTATCAGTGGTAAGCCATATATCTGCGAATCGTATTTGCACACGTTAAGTCTACTGTGATTAGTTGTTGAGTTCCTCAAGGTTAGGAGGCTTTGTTATTGTTTTTTCTCATGATCCCGATTCGGGACGTAAACATTGACGTTAAATGTTGTCTACAATTTTCGCTTGCAGACAGCTCTCAACACACTTTTATATTTCGAAACATGTAGACAATATGGACACATATTCGACTGGTAAATTGTGGAAATTTTAAACAGTGGAAATACCTAAAATGGTCAGAGGATTTCTAGAAGCCTAGTGTCAATGGACGTGAACATTGAGCGTTTGTTTATTGGAACTGGCAGCCATTGGTGGGCAACTCGAAGGCACGAATGGTTCGATCGCTTGCAAGTTGAATGAAGACGGGAACAAATAAGAATAAAAACTTTGTATTTTGTCTCGCTTTAATTGCTAAACAATATAATTTCGTTCAAGGAATACTGGTGTTTTGGATTTAAAGTTGACAGAAATACAGTCTTTATCGGTCGCAAACGTCTTCATTACAATAGGAGCTTAGGGCTAATTTCCTTGACACCTAGTGTTCAGAGGAATTTGAGATTAACAGACGCACACATTACCATAAATCACCAGCAACTAATATAGGATAAATCACATAACGAAAAAGTTCGAATTCCAAGTCAACAAAAATGATGAAGAAAGATGTGAATTTACAATCAATGACGACAGAAGTCGTCTGGAGATACAGTTGTCATCATTCATGGAGAACTCGAAAAATTTCACTGCATACTGAAGTTTGCGTTAAAGACATATTGTCTAGAAGGTGGGCTACTCTGAAGCTTCACAATTAAATCAACAAGCTCAAAAAACACACAAGCAAATTAAGAAAAATATTTCACAAACCTATAAACTACTGATTGATTGAGATGAGTAGTCGTACATCACTCATATCAACCAGTTGATTTTTCGTCATTACAACTGTTTCCTCTGGTTTCTAGAGGAACATAGGGCTTCAGCCGGACGTCTCCATTGCGTTCGGTTCTCTACCAACGTTTTCACCTGGCTCCATGCCTGCGCACATGCTTTCATCTCCTCTTCAAGTGACCTCCTCCTCCATGTCACCCTCGCATTGACGAACAACTCACCGCTTCCCATTCGGGTTCCACTAGAGCAGTGACCTGTCGTGTGATGTCACCTGATGATTTGTTTCCTCACAGTATGGCCGGTCAGCCTAACTCCATTTCTTCCTGCATATTTGTTGCACAATCGGTTCCATATATGTATATATATATATATATATCGGTTCAATCACTCTAAAATATACCTTTGCTTCTGTGTCTTGCCTTCTGCTGCTACAATATCACATTCCACCTTGTCTTTAATATGTACCTTCATTACAACTCACTCAATTAAAGTGTTTATCCCATTACGTAACTCTAACATTCTTATTTACCACCTCTTATATATTGATTAATATGATGATGACAACTTATCACTCTTGTTAATATTCTATTTTTGTAAAGAAAAAAAGAGATCGTACATAGATGGGATTGTACAGTTAAAGAGGAAACTGAATTCACCGCGAAAAGAGATTCTCTTCGCTGAACACTATCTGTTTTAGGGCTTCTTTTCATTCCTGCCTGGTTGAAGATTATTCATGAGGTTTCATCAGTTAGTTTTGTAGGGATTTGATTTATTTCAAGTCTGATCACCGATTGATATCAGTTAGAGAACCACTGAAAACCAACACTGGAGTACTGGACAGCTGTTTCGTCCTAGGTTTGGACTCATGGGTAGTATGCACCTATCGGAGTTACAGCTCACGACCTTCTAGTTACAAGGAAAGCTCGTAGACCATTCAACTACCGGGACCCGACTCAATGGACCATGAATTCCAACTTCTAACAATTCGTGATTTTAGCGCGACGATTAACCAACGAATGTCATCCGCGAATATTTGTCCTCACTACCGACACGGTTTACCCCACTGGTCACGACTTCTCATTAAAAACCCCAAGAAACTTCGTCCTATAGCCAATCACTAGCAAGAATCAGATTGTCGTCGAGCGAAAATCACAAACTAGTAGAAGTCAGGATTCATCGACCATTGAGTTGGGTCCCAATGGCTGAATGGTATACGAGCAGCTCTCCTATTAACCGGAAGGTCATTGGTTGATTGATTGAGATGAATGAGCAGTTTTATATCACTCATATCAACCAATAGTGCTTGCTAACCAGCTGGCCAGATTTAGGTGACTTAGACAACGGAGGGCCGTTTCGATCGTTTTTGAGGCCGATCTTACCAGTGGTGTACCCAGTTCAACTCAGTAAGCAAGGTAAGACAGAACCAGAGAGAATCAGTTCGAACCAACTTACTTCAGCCAACTGGTAATGCATTAAGTTAACTTCGCAAAAAAAATCTTCAAGTTACACAGTTCATGGAGGTGAAATTTCACCAAAAAATAGAAAGCAAGCATAAATGCATCATTATGGGTAAATTTTGTTTTGATGAAGTCTCACAGTCTGTGTTATACAGTAATATTTACTGATGACGTTTCGAGCACAATTTACTGCTGCTCATAATCATATCAAGGTAATCACACGACTTCCTAAATTCATTTATATAGTTCCATTGTTCTTCACTTGATTTGATTGGTAGTAGTATTTTCCATATTTCGGGTATCAGTGATGAATCATTCCTATTGCATGTGTTGGGAGCAGATTCGATGAACAAGGATTCAGTAATCAACCTCTCTCTCCACCTACCTAGATTACTTTTTAGAATTTTAACCCTCTCGCACCCATCTTATTGCGTGGTTGTGTGTTAATGCATGCATTGCAATTGCCGAGCTTTTTTCTAAATTACTTATCTTCTCAGTGTCAAACATTCTTACCTTAGCTAAATTCTCATGTTCTGACAGTCTGACTACCCCTGACCTACTAGTTTGACCTATGTAGTTGACCTCACAGTCATTGCAGGGTATTTTGTAAATTATATTATTTTGTCTAATTGGGTCAACTGGGTCCTTTAACCTACAGAGCTTGTCCTACCTGAGTGTGTTTGAGGGTTTAAATGACACCCTAATTTCTGCTTTATTAAGAATCCCACCACGTAGGGTCTCAAATGTCTCCTCCTTATATGGTATAACTGTAGATGACTTATATTCTCTCTTATTTATGTTATTATTACTAGTTTCACAATTCTTTTTCTTTTGGCCTTTTTCAATTTTCCTAATGAATTTTAAAGGATAGTTATTTAAGACCAACGACTCTTCTATCTGTTTTATTTCATCATTTAGGTCTTTTTTGTGCCACTTAGTGCCATTGGTCGGTTTGTTAAACACTTAACTAAGCCTGCCTTAACAGTTAAATTATTATTATTATTGTTCCCTTGGGTTCCTAGTGGAACATAGGGCTTCAACTGCACGCCTCCACTTGCTTCTGTCTTCTGCTGTACTTTTCACTTGCGTCCATGTTAGTCCATACTGTTTCATCTCCTCCTCACACGATCTCCTCCATGTCACCCTTGGACGTCCCACTCGCCGCTTCCCTTTCGGGTTCCACTCGAGGGCCTGGCGCGCAATGTCACTCAACGGCCTCCTCAGCGACTGTCCAATCCATCTCCACTTTCTCCTGCGTATTTGTTGGACGATTGGTTCCTGTTTCGTTTGTTCCCATAGCTTCTTGTTTGTGATTCTTTCCGGCCATCTAATCTTCAGTATGGAGCGAAGACAGTTGTTGATAAAGGTTTGCAACCTGTTGAAAATATTCTTGGTGACCCGCCAAGTTTCTGATCCGTATAGAAGAACTGACTTGACGTTTGTATTGAAAATCCGAATTTTGTTGTTGAGTGTTGCTGAGTGACGAAGATTTCCAGATTGGTTTCAGGTTGATGAATGTGTTTCTCGCCTTCCCGATTCTCGATTTGATATCCTCGTCTGTTCCTCCTGTAGTTGAGACAATGCTCCCTAGATAAGTGAATGAAGTAACCTCTTTCAAATCCCTCCCGTTGATGGTGATTGGCGCTGGATGTTGCTGCTGTTGTTGTTGTTGGTTGGTA